ATATATATATATATATATATATATATATATATATATATATATAATGTTTTTTACATATTTATGAAATTGTATGAATATTCATATATTTCGGTTATAATTCAGTGTAATTTTAAATTTTTTTCACAAAATATAGATTTGTTTTATGTCTCAATATATATTTGAATGTTATCAACCAATTTTAAGCCTTAATACGCCCAAACTTTAAAGGTATCACATGTAGGGCTCAGTTAAGAATCTCCATAGGGTTCTATAGGCCCCTCTAGTGGCAGTAACCATAAAATGCAATTTTATGATATTTGTCAGAAAGACTCAGTGACCCCACTCAGAGCCCATCGGAAGGTTTTTGATGATTTTGGACTGGAATTGTCTCTTATGTTTTTTTTTTTTTTTTTTTTTTTGCTGAAATACTGTAACAAAATAGCTTATTTGCTCATAGATTCTTAGATATATCCAGAATTTAATATAAATAAAATAAAAATCACCAAAACATTGTTTTAAAAAACCTAAATAAATAATTAGAATTTTTTTTTTTTTTGTGTATAACGGGACACAAACCCAAGTGCTGAATATCTCAAGTGTAATGCTGTGGGCTACCGAGCAAGTTTACTAAGAAAAGGCATACATATGGAACAGATTATGTGATGCAAAAGTCAAAATGTATTAGTTTACAAATCATGCATTATGATAAAAGTGTTTTAAGTCATTCCTTGGTATTGAGCAAGGAATAAAAGTTGTTGCCATTTTACTTCTTCTATAGTGTAGGTAAACGGGGGTACGAGTTTAAGGTACTTACCAACATCAAAATCTGTCTCAGTAGCTGCATTATCAGTACTTTGGTGTAAAACAACAGCAGGTGAAGTGACAGAAGATAAAGCAGAGGGGAATCTAGAATGAGGCATAGGAACTGGCTTTCGATTTAATTCCCGAGCACGTAAGTCTAACTCACGCATCTTAATATCCCTATCTGCTTGAGCCTCTATAGCACGAAGCCTAATCTTCTGCCCTTCACACTCCTGTTTTTTTATTAGGAGGTCTAACTCCTTCAACTTGATTGACTCACCCAGAGACTCAGTTGCCGGCCCAGGAAGAACCGCACCGGTCACAGCTTGTGCTGTGAATCCAGGTTGTTCCTCAGTACCGACAACAGAGTAATCTGGTAAAATCCCTACATCGACTAGCTTTTCACGCAAGTCATCTTTAATAATTTGTTTGGTAGCCTGCCTTGAAACCTCAATATTAAAGAAATCTGCTATTAAAAACAAATCTGCCTTCCTGCAACGTTCAAAAACCTCTATGGTAGGAGAAAGAGTAAATTAAATTAAATTCCATAATTCTCACTACCACAGAGGCCTTCTTCACCAAAAAGAAAAGAAAGAAATGAGCAGATACTTACAATTACACCACGTTGTTACATGCTAGCCCTTTTAGTCTAGAGGTAATGGACCTAGCAGTAACAAATTTTTGGAGAGAGAAAGCACAGGGACCTCTTGTCTCCAGCCCCAATAACACACCTCCAAACAAAAAGAATATTTAACTTTTTATTCAATCATAAAAAAAAAAGATAAAAGGAAACATAAGCTTCGGGAGGGGGCAAAGGCCAACACAACAAACAAAAAGATTTCTAACTCAGTTTTAACCATAACTTACCTATACATAAACCAAAAGAAAATAAACAACAAAATTAACTTCCCTATCTCCTTGACTATCCAAATAACCAGGAGAAAAGCAATTAAAGAAAAAGGCACCAACCTCCCTACAAGTTTCCTTACAAAATACTTAAATTCTAAACAAACTTACAAGTCTCCAACTAAGCCCACAGTAGCACCAATGGTTAGCACTTAATAACAACAGACAGAAAGTTATCTGGAGCCAGAGAAAAGCAGTCCGTGTGGCAGATTACAATCTGCAACCCTCTCCCTCTCTCCTTGTTGAAAGGCATTGCTGGTTTTATATGCTGGCTTTCTCCTGGCGGCAGCCAATCAGTGGAGCTGAGGTAAATGGGCAGCAAATCAGCAACAGGTGGACCCAATCACCTGCATGCGAATGGTAGCAGTAGACAAGGAGAAAAAACAAACAAACAACAAACTACCACAAAGCACATAGAACAAATAAAATATGTCTCAGGAAGTAACAACTCCGATCGGGCATCTTCGGGGGTCTTCTCGGCGAGAAGAACACCACTCAACGAACAGGTTCCACTTCAAGCGTAGGCGTGTCTCGTAGACGGTGCTCTCGCTGAAGTGATGGTGTCAACTACCTCTTGGAGTAGGCCACTCAGAACCTCCGCATCCCGTCCAGGGACCGGACATGAAGTTTCCAGAGGTCTGGACGGGGGTGCCAAGGGGTGCCCCGTCTCTGAGTCAGTAAATCCTTCCTCAGAGGAATCGGCCAAGGAGGGGCTGTTGCGAGGAGCATTAGTTCCGGCAACCAGGTCCGGGAAGGCCAATAGGGTGCCACCAGCAGGACCTGCTCCTCGTCCTCCCTGACCTTGCACAGCAACTGTGCCAGAAGGCTCACTGGGGGAAATGCATACTTGCGAAGGCACTGCGGCCAGCTGTGTGCCAGTGCATCCGTGCCGAGTGTTCCCTCGGTCAGGGCGAAGAACAACTGGCAGTGAGAGGTTTCTGGAGAGGCAAACAGGTCTACCTGAGCGGCTCCGAAACGTCCCCAAACCAGCTGGACCGTCTGGGGATGGAGTCACCATTCTCCCAGGAGCGCAGATCGGGACAGCTCGTCGGCTGCCCGGTTGAGCCGCCCAGGAATGTGAACAGCAAGAAAGCGACCTCAGATGCTTCTGACTCCAGAGGAGGAGGTGGCGGGCGAGTTGCGATAAGCGACGGGAGCGCAGACCACCTTGTCGGTTGATGTACGCAACAGTCGCTATGTTGTCCGTGCGGACTAGTACATGCTTGCCTCGTAAGCGCCCTTTGAGACGGCCCAGGTGCACTGCCAGCAACTCGAGGCAGCCAGTGCAGTTGACACTGCAAGCCCGTTGTACGTGGCCCCCCCAGCCGGTGGTTGAGGCATCCGTGCAAACCACAGCATGCCTGGAGACCTGCTCCAGGGGCACTCCTGCCCGGAGGAACGCAAGGTCTGACCACGGGGGTTAAGGTTTGGCGGCAGGCCAGTGTAACTTGGACCCGGAAGGTGCCGTGTTGCCACGCCCACCTCGGGACTC